TAATATATATATATATATATATATATATATATATAAATATATAAAAAATTGATGTGGGTACTCAAATGAAAGGTCTCGATGAGTGTAATGTCGGGGTGAGCTTATATCTTTAAAAATGTCAATAGTTCACGAGATACAGAGTCATTTCTTTCTTAATTATGTATCTACAGAGATAGAGCATTTTCGAATGCAGCCTAAATACTTATCATCATAAATTGACTATTGGTGAGAATGATATGAAACCATGAAAAGGCACAACTCCAGGTCAAGACTTTTCCAACGATACCAAATTTAATATAAAAAAAATCCCATTTTATCATATAAGTATAGATTATTTAATTTTTAAATATTTACAGGTCCACCATCACCAGATCCTTGGTTACCAAGAAGATTTTCAGCATGTGCAATTTCCGGAACGGAAAATAACTCGCTTCTGATGCGCCGACTTTCTGCATGTTCTACTTCAGGCTCCAGCTCAGACGTTTCAAGTTACTCGGGCAGTCGACGATTCTCTTCATGCTCTTCCGCTTCCGATAACAGCTTCGGTTCGCCTCTTTATCACCACTCGCCTCACCAAAGTCATCACAATCTCTATCCCCCGTTTAATTATTGGCCTGGTCAGCCAACTTCCCGTCGATTTTCCTGCTGCACGCCCTCAAACATAACTTCTCAGAATATAGGAGGTTACGGCTTCGATTATCCCAACGGATCGTTTTATCATCAAACAGGTAGACGTGGATCTGCAGAGTGTGGAACATTCCTTCGAAGGCTCTCTAACTGCAGCAGAGATTCCGGTTATGATCCAGGATCCAGAAGACTTTCTTCTTGCTCATCCGGGTCTGATTCTTGTTCAGGTTTTCGCTCTCGCAGCAATAGTGGGTTTGTTCTTATGGCTCATTTACCTGAAAATGTCACCAGATTACCATCAGGACCTGATGGAACTCGAGGTTTTGGTAGGAGCAATTCTGCTGTTGAAACTTCAACATCAAATACTGTTGACCCTTCGTGTGGATAAATAGAATTTTATTTAATTACTACACGGAAAAAAAAAAATTACATTATATAATGTAACGTGGCGCTCCATGATAAAAACTGGAAAAATTATAGTTTCAGATTGTAATTATTACAGATTTTATACATAGAAAAAAAAATCAAGAGAAAAATTCTTAAACAAAGAAAATAATTTTGAAGAGTTTCATTGTCTTGGATCAAGAGGAAAAATTTCTTAGTTTAAAAAAATTCTTTAAAATTATTTACTTGATTCAAGTTAATTTTTTTTTTCTGTGTAAGAATTACATTGTACAATGTAATATTTACATTGAAAGCTTTAAAAATGAATATTTAAAATTTAAATTTAAAAAAATGTTATTTTGAAATGAAAATAAAGTTAGCCGATATTCAAAAATTTTTTTTATTAAAAAATTAAAAGAAAATTTTGCACTTGTTAAAAACTTCAAAAACTATAAGTGCAATTTTTTAAAAATATTTTTTAGTTATAATTTAATAAATTAAGTAAAATAAAAAAATTATAAATGTCAGCTAACTTTATCATTATTATTTTTAACTGTAATTTTTCGAGTTTTCTTTTTTCCGTGTATTATATCCAATTTATAAATATATGAATTTATTATTTAAGATTAAAAAAAATGTACTGGAAATTGATACTCAGTTGTGAATAATTTAGTCAATAACGACATCAACAGCATACTTGAAAAAATTACTATAATTATAGTTATTATTATTACTTAATATTTATGTTTATTTACTGTTAATTAATATATAGTTAATTCTTATGTACATAGATTTAATGTCGATGGCAATATGATTTTTAATTGCACTTTGGTCACTTATCAAGCAGAGGTTTATTATAATGTTGTGTCAGACTGCGCTTGATCTTCGGTGCATTTTTTTAAAAGTAGCATTGACCCAATTACCTGTACTTACTATTATAATTCTGATGATCAGAATTATCATGTCATGAGAATCACCAGATCTTAAGATAGATTGTTGTGGATACAATGGGTCCGTGCGCTGACTCACAAACAGGAGTATGAATTAGGAGAATTACCCTTGGATTTTTAATGATAATCAAGGTGAAGGAGTGACTCTTCCATCGCGGCCTTCACCTATTCAAAATCTTAAATTATTAATTAAGAAAAAAAATCATTAAGTCTCATTTTTTCCATTGTATTCATGTATATGTATAAATTTTGATTGTCAATTCAGTATAAATAAAATATATAGACGTAAAAATATATAATATTTTATAAATCTTATGTTTTTTTATTTAAATTTTATATTTCAATAAGAAATATTTAAAGCACCTACTAGTTAAGGATTTAAAAAATTTGACAACTGTTTGTAGAAGAGGAGCTCGATTTTTTTAGTGATGAAAAATTGATAAAATAATTTATTCAAGTATTTACTTTTTAAATTTTTTCTTCTCTGCGACAAATTTATGAATAAAATTTCAATAAAGAATTATACAAATTTTGTATCGCCTTAATTTTTAAACTAAAAGCAATAATAAAAACAAAAATTTTTGTTAAATGATTTATAAACTCATCGCAAGAAACAAAAAATAGATTTTAATAATATCTAAAATTTATCTAAAATTTTACTTTACGTACATAAAAAAAAATGATTATTTTTATTACTTTGCAAGAAACAATAAATTGTCAAAAATGAATTGTTTTTATTATATTGAAATTAGCAGATAGCTGTCAATTTTTTTTAATTATTATAAAAAATAGCACTTACAATTTTTTTTAATTTTTAAAAAATTGCATTTTTTATTTATTAAAATTTCTAAATGTCCATTTTTTTTTTGCAGCAATTTATTTATTAGAAAAATTATTAAATATCGGCTAAATTGATTTTAATTAATAATTTATGACATTAAATTTAGCTGTTACTTTACAATTTTTTAATTCTCTTCATCAAACAAATTTTTTATAAAAATTGCATTAATTTTTATGTTTTAAAATTTACGACATTAAAGTTAGCAGTCGCTTGAAAATTTTTTGAAAGTTTTTTTTAATAAATAAATTTGCTCCGAAAAATTATTTCTAAAAAATTGGATTTTCAATTTTCTAAATGTCAATTTTTTTCATATAATTTATTTATTAAAAAAATTCTTAAAATTATAAAATGTCTGCTAAATTAATTTTCATAATAATTTAATGACACTGAAGTTAGAAGACGTGTAAAAATTTTTGATTTTTTTTAAGTATAAATTAAATTACAACTAAAAAGATATTTCTAAAAAATTGCACTTATAGTTTTTTAAGTTTTTTACATGTGACAATTTTTTTTTTAATTGTTTAATTGAAATTTTTTCAATAAAATAATTTAATTATTATAACAATCGTTTTTTACCGTTTGATGTAAAATTTTCCAAACATATGGATATTAATTGCTTACGACATCTTGAAACGTGAGTATCGATATGAAGTCAGGAGTTTTTAATTTGAATATATCCCGCGGAAAGTAAGAAAGTAAGCTCACATGTGTGTGCGCCTGAACTTATATCTATATATAAATGACACTGAAATTAGCAGACTCTTAGAAATTTTTGATTCTTTTTATTAATTAAATTATAACTAAAAATATATTTTTAAAAAATTGCACTTGATAGCTTTTCAAGTTTTTTATATGTGAAATTTTTTTTTTAATTTTTTAATTGAAAATTTTTCAATAAAAAATTTCTAAAAATTCTTAAATGTCGGCTAACTTCATTTTCATATATATAAAAGCATTTTGTTTAGAAATGGGCACATGCGCAAAAGTTATTCTTCACGTCTTGATCCAAGTGTAATCGTTTCATCTGAATTGTGGATATCACGGACAGTAAGCATCTGCTAAAAAAATATTTGTTCAATTACGATAAATTGTAGTTACAATTACTGATATTTGTAAAAAAAAGTGTTAAGTGTAAAGTTATTATCAGTCCTGATACTGTTAGCACAATTGACAAAATGGACAGTCCACTTCCTCATATTATGGAAAGTAGTGATATGGCGTATTCTAAGCCGAAAGATAGGTTAGTCAGTATTCTGGATCAAATTGAACTAAGAGTTGAGCAGCTAAGACGAGATGCTTCAAGACTTGAAGAAGAAAAAGACAATATGCTTTCAACCCTCGATACTCTAAAAAACAGCGACGAATATCTTGATCCTCTCGAAGATCGTAAGTTTTATATTTTATTGTTTTGCTAAAACAATTTATGTTTATGGTACGTGAGCTCGAAACGTCTCGAACAGTCTCGAAAGTTGACGAATTATCTAGATTTTTCATGGTTGATAATTTTATCAATTAATAACATTGTTAGTTAGTTTTTATCTTACACTGCACTTGATAATTTTTATATTAAGTTATTCAATATCATTACTTGCATTTCAAAATAATAATTATTTTGCTTGACAATTATAGTAATTGTTGACATAAATGTCTTAATTTTAATACAAACAAAAATAAATTTTATAATGAAATTGAAAAATCTATTTGTGTGGTTTTAAAAAGATTATTTTCTATTCTTGATTATAATCATAATTAATGAAATAAATAATTATTGCCTGGTGTATACTGATTTTCCTCTTTTTAAATGAAACATACCAACAGATGTCAGACTATTTTTATAATTTTCTAAACAAATAAATTATAAAGCAAATTAAATAAAAAATTCCACATGTCGGAAATTTGAGAAACTATGAATTGAAATTTTTTTAAATTAAATACCTTTTCAGTAATAACTTATTTTTTTTAATAATTTTAAAAATTGTCAGATTTTTGCTGATCTCAATTTCATATTTTTTAATAAAACTAAAGTTAACCGACGTTTATAAATTTTTTATTTAATAAATTGGAACAAAAAAATATTTATTAAAAATTGCATTTAAAGTTTTACAAGTGAATTTTTTTGTATAAAAATTTTCAATAAAAATAATTGTAAAAATTTTTAGATGTCGGTTAATTTAATTTTCATTATTTTTTAAATTGTAATTATCAATTGACTAAAGAACTAAGTTTTGTGAAAAAATTAAATAAACTTTCAATAATTTTGATTTATTTCTTACTGTAATAAAAGGTATACTTTTTTTTTTAATTTAAATAACTCCAAAATTTTGACTAAAACTAGCAATATTAAATAAGTTGATAATTTGCATAGCAATAAATATGAAAAATTAATGACATTAAAGTTAACCGTCACTTGACAATTTTTTAATTGTATTTAACAAAGTATTTTTAAAAAAATTGCATTTTTAATTGGTTTTTATTTCTACATGCCAATTTTTTTAATAATTTTATTCTTGAGATAATTTATTTGTTACAAAAATTTAAAAAATTACCAAATACCTGCTAAATTAATGACAGTAAAGTTAGCAGTCATTACAGAATTTGTTAATTTTTTTTAACAAACAAATTTGTTCTAAAAAATAATTAATAAAAAATTGCATTTTTTATTTTTTAAAATTTCTACATGTCAATTTTTTCTTCTAAATTTTTTTGCTATAATTTATTTGTTAAAAAAATTTTTAAAGTCAACAAATGTCTGCTAAATTAATTTACATGAGAAATGAAATAAACAAAAATTATTTTGTAATAAATTAAAAAAATTTAAGTACATCTAAATGATAAATCAATTAAAATTTTTCAGCTGATCGTGAAGATATACTTCGGTATGCTGAAAGACTTTCGATGAGATGCTTAACAGTCGAGGTGATGGTAAAAGTTCAACGTGATGATGTTCAACAGGATGCACTTCATCAAGTAAGTATTCGACGGTCTAATTAGTAATTGGTCTCTCCTTATTTTTTAGAGGGTGATTTTTTAACATTTTGATGTAGCAATAGTCCAATTATAAATTATTTGAATTATCCAAGCCAAAATATTATGCCTCTATTAAATATTAAATGGTTTTTTAAAGTGATATTAAATTTTTAACTAATTGTTTTTTTGTAATACAAACAGAAGATTCTCTAAAATGGAGTTAGACAATTTGCTAATTAGAACGTCGACTTGTGATATCAATAACATAACAATATATAATAATTTGTACCATTAATTTTAGGTAAACGGGTTGATTGATAGTCTAGTTATTGCATTAAAAAATGATCCCGGTTCAACTCGTCACCGTTGTGCTGCTTTTATAAACGCTTGCTCCTCTCATGTTGAGGGACAAGGTCACTCAGATAAAACTTTTGAAACTGCAATTCTTGGGTGTACTCTAGATGATCAAAAACGTATTAAAAAAAGACTTCAAGGTTTGTTAGATTATATTGATAAGGTCCACACTTTTGAATTGCAATAAAATTTTTGACTATATTTTTTTGGTTAATCTGCTATTTCGCATTCAGACACTTTAAATGTGATCAGTGTCTTAATAAAATAAAATAAAGACAAATATAATATGATATAATGTAAGTAGTTTGCATAAGTCCATGCAAATACGATAGCAAAAAAAATTTTTTGATTATTATCATATTTTAATTGTAAAAGCGTGCTTTTCTCTATTAAATAATTAAGTTTCGATGTACTTCGTATGACAACTTGAAACCTTTATTTAAATGTGTTTTCCAAAAAATTATTTTTCTTTAATTTTTAAAAAGTGGTATTTACATTATTCGTCGATATTATAAATTTATTCATTAATAATACACTTGGGTATTTAAAATTTACTCACATTTTTTTTTTTCTTTACAATTAATAAAATTCTGTTATATTTATACATATATTTGATGTTATTAATTTACATTAATAATTATGATCATTTACTTCCTTAATAATTATCTTTAACTTAAAGGGAAAATACATATAGAAGGTTGTTTTCATGCTGATTTTCATTAATTTTTTTAAGGTATAAAAAATTAATATTATTTATTGAAACTATCAGGTTATTTTATAGATATATTTATGAGTATTTTTTCGTATTAAACAACAATATAACTTAACAAATAGCGAAGATATCAGCTGATACACATCGTAGGTTGTCATCCGACTTAGCAGTTGGTGTGCAGTATGGAAGCCACAATTTTTATCTGAAATCACTGGCACAGAAAAATTACTTTTTTTATATGTGTATCTTCTATATGAACCTCAATTCCAAAAAAAAAAAAAAAAGTAAAAATTTGCATTTTTTAGATGGCTGTGAAATTGAGTCGTGATTTTTACCATTTTTTCATACATTGTTTATTAAAAAAAAAATAGTTTAAATAAAAATATCGCTTATAATTGAGGTTCATATTCAGCGTAATTGTATAAAGAAAAGTAATTTTTCCGTGCCATTGATTTCAGATAAAAATTGTGGCTTCCATAGTACACACCAACTGCCAAGTCGGAAGACAACCTACGATGTGTATCAGCTACTTTTTAAGTTATATTGTTGTAAAATATGAAAGAATATAACCTGATAGTTTCAATAGATAAAATTAATTTTTATACCTTAAAAAAATTAATAAAAAATCAGCATTAAAACGTCCTTCCCTCCTCAAGAAAGTTATTTTTTTTTTATGCTATATTTTAATAAATTTCTCTGACATTAAAACATAAATGTCTTATGAAGCAACAATAAATTAAAAAAAATGAAATACATTAATAACAAAGTATGTAATATTGGCAAGATGTGAGTGAGTTGTACAACTGCGCCAGTAAACGCAAAGAACTCAATACAAACTAGGACCAACTAACCGGCCGTTGACTCTCGACTCAAGGTCTTATGAAAGGTGAAGGACATTTTATATATATACCAGCAATGCTAGTGTTATTTTAATAACACACTAATTATTTGCGCCAATAATTATAATATTTATCTAAAAATAATTAGTATAACTAAAAAAACTTTTAATTCTCAATATTATAAATAAATATTTAATAATTTACAAGGTATTTACTTATAATTTTATTTGGTTAAACATCATACACCGCGTTAAATATTAATATAAAATTAATTAATTAAAAGTATCTTGATTAATATAGAAATGCTGTACGAATAAAAAAAATAACAGTAAAAAAAATAAATAAAATATACATATGTACAAAGTAAAGAAAATTATAAATCCAAAACACGACTTAGGTACATTTTATCTTTTTATAATACTCAAGTGAGAAAAAAACAACTCTGTAACGTGATATGTATTCAAGTATAAAAACATATAATTCTGGTTTTGATTCTTCAAGTAGTTATTATAAATATTTTGATAAAATATTAATTGGATTACTACTTGTACTTATTTATGTATTTCACAAGAGTCTACAGACATTCTTGACAAAGTTTTTCTTTTTGTGGTGTCGAGTTCTACCACTCGGTCGGAGGACAATTGTTCCATTTCCGGTGTTACGACCTGTACATTCATTTGGACTAAAAGCACCTGCAAATAAAAAAAAATACAATTATTACACTGATAGAAGGATTTTTTTATAGTTAAAAATATTTTTTAGTATTTAACAAATCATTTATTAGAGACTACTTTTTAGTATTAAACAAATATTTCTTAGTATTTAAAATGATTTGTTTGGTAATTGGAAAAAATTTTTAAGTTATGAAAAATTCATATTATTTCATTGAAATTATTATAAAATAAAAATTATAATAATAATAACTGTATCACACCTACAATTTTCCTGAAATGATCGTTCCATTTTTTGTTAGAAAAAAAAAAGAAAAATATTATTATTATAATTTCAAAATTTTTTCCGGGATTCGATTTATTTGTATTTAATAAATCTGATACTCATTTATTATGAAAGTTAAGTTAGCCGATATTTAAAAATTTATAGAATTTTTTTTTATTGGAAAAATGATTGCAAAAAAATAAAAAAAAATTTCACTTGTAAAAAACTTGAAAAACTGTAAGTGCAATTTCTTAAAAATATTTTTTTGTTCTAATTTAATTATTAAAAAAAAAAAAAATTAAAAGCGTCAGCTAACGATTAAATATTAACAAATATTTTTAACAATAAACAAATCCTTCTATTAGTCTAAATACTTGTTAATGATAGTAATTAAATTTTTATTTTAAAAAACAGAAACAAAAAAATTTAATAAAATTTTTTTTAAGAAGATATAGATAAAATTATTTATGTAAATAAATTTCACGGATCAAAACAGTGAATTGCTAAAATTAAATAACACTTTATTATACTGTAGTCTTATTATTGGCTTATGTGTGACATCAATCTACATGAGATAACTGTTTATTCGCGGCCTAGATTATGCCGAGGGTAATTTTAATACCGATCTTTATTTGATATCAAAATAATAATAATAATATTTCAACCACCTAATCATTTAGAACAATCTTAATTTTAATCTTAATCTTAATTCTAATACAGCAATTTTATTTTATTCATCGGGCATGTGTATTATTTAAAATAAACGATTTTATCAAGGTAACTTTATCGATCTTGGTGCGTGAAAGTCACGAAAGATAACAATGAACGGTGGGTACGCAAAAAATATGGCTAAAACTTTCTATAAAGACTATTGATAATTCTATAAAGAGTCGTGGGACAAACTTATTATCTTAAGTTATATTGTACTTCCATGCACGTCGGGAAGAATTTCTCTGGCCGTACTTGTCTCTGTATTTGAAACGACACAATAAAAAAGGAAGAACCAATTGATCGACTTGTGTTTCAATAAAAAAAACCAGAGAAACCAAGCCAAGCACTCGTCTTTAGAGATAAACCGTATTTTCTTAGAAATTCTCGCGTACGCCAATGTATTATTAATGATCAGCCACCGGATATACAAGTTTCAAAACCCGTGACTGTGTACAACAATGTTTTTAAAATCTATATATGTGTGATTCTCTGTAAGGACGTCTTAAGTCTATACAAAATTGTCCGACCAAATTATTTTTGATTTTATAAGAAAAAAAATTACAAAACTATCAGCTTAATGATAATAAATAAACATGAAAATCAAGTTAGCCGACATCTAAAAACTTTTGGATTTTTTTTTATTGAAAAAATTGGTACAAAAAAAATTTTTAAAAAATGTCACTTGTAAAAAACTTGACAAACTATAAGTGCAATTTTTTAAAAATATTTTTTAGTTCTTATTTAATAAATGAAAATAAATCAAAAAATTAAAAACGTCGGCTAACTTTAGTGTTATTAAATAAACAGCCAATTTAATTTTTTTTTCTTCGATATTTGTGTGTCTTTTGCCATATAACATGACAGGGGAGTGTTTTTTTTATCAAATTGAGAAAAATCAAACAAACTATTTCAATGCATTCAACTTTTCAAATTCTCAATGAATATTTACATTAATTAGAATAATATTAAGACTTATGGAACGAATTTTATAAATAAATTATAAATAAAAATAGTTGCCAGGGGACTGACGTTTTGAAGTGGCCCAGACACATGTTTCCAGCACAAACGGTGTTTTGACACTAAATAAAATGCCGATAAAGCGCTAACAGCCCTATGGTTATTAACTCAAGGCTAGTTAGGTTCTTATAAACCTTACAGAATATAAAATAGCAGGCTGGATTTTTTTTTAGCTTTGAACTTCTGGCAGGGAACTGTTCTTAAAACATCTGTGACAAACTTTGGTTTAATGAATTTAATGAAACAATTTTCGGTACTTTTTATTGAAGAAGATTGTCAGTTAACTAATTAAGTTTATAAACCTTATGGACAAAATTATATATTATGGACGAATAACTTAAAATTTAATCTTAAAGTTTGAATTTTGGGAATGGGACAGCCCAGGGGACTTATTTCGGTGGTTTACGCATTTATACCAAAAAAACCAAAATTTATTTCATTTTAGTTTTCAATGCTCCAAATAGAAATGTTTTTTTACTTTCGTAATAAATTTTTTTTAGTAACAAAATAACAATTTTTCTAATAAAAAAATGCCTGGGACAGCAAAAAAACATCCTTATATAAATCGACCACTTTTGAACTCGAGTCCTTTAGATTTAGCTAAAATTTTATCATTCTTTTCTACCAAAATTTTGAAATAAATTTTTGAGAATTTTTGAGAATTTTTTTGTCCAACCCCAAAAAAGTTATGAATTTTTCAAAAAAATGGCTTTTTTATTTTCAAATAGCCATAACTTTTTTTGATATTGACCTTTGGGTACCTTTTTTTTTTTAACTTAATATTTGTTTTTGAGTGTACTTTTTGAAAAAATACATAAAAAAAAATTAAATATGATCAATTCTATAAAATATCTGGGTTTTTTTTTTAAGTAAAATCGTTATTTTTACATAGTACGTCATTTTTTTTTATTTTTATTTCTCAAAAAAAACTTCAATCAATTTGACAACTATTGAAAAAAAAAAATTTTTTTTATTTTAGAAATTTTTTTTTTCAATATAAAATATTATTGTAGGTGATACGAAGTTCACCGGGTCAGCTAGTACATAAAAAAAAAAGTAAGAGATCATTTTCTTTTTTTTTTTTTTTGAATTTATATTACTTACTGATAACAGAAGGTGATCGTGGTCCTGATGAGTACAATCTCAAGTCATCTTGATAGTCGTCTTCACACCTGCGCATTTCTATCAAACATTTTGAAGCCAGATGCCTAAAAACGCTCACTACACCCACGTCTTCCTTGACGGATGTACGTAGGAGTTTACAACCCAAGGCTCGGCCTAGTCTCTCAGCTTCATTTCTGCAACAACAATCGCCGTCATTTTTTTCAATTGAATTAATGAATTAAAAAAAAAAAGTTTTTATGCTAGTAATATTACTTACGGATCTATTTGACACTGATCGACGAGATCAATCTTGTTTTGCACCAAGACTGTTGGGATTTCTCCACACTCATTCTCTACCTAAAGTAGAAAATAGATATATTAAATAAAGTTTTTATTTAAGGTAAGAAATAATCAACTTTCCTTGAGTTTCCAAGATGGAATGGCGTCAAAGGAATCCCGGTCTGTTGATGAATACGCCAAAACACACGCATGAGCACCGCGATAATAAGCCGCTGTAATTGCATCAAATTCTTCTTGGCCAGCAGTATCCCACAACATTAGTCTTACATCTTCTCCATCGACTCTATTATATTTAAAATAGATTTTAATCTATATTATTAAGAGAATAAGAATAATTTTTTGTCCATAATAATTATATGATAAAATCGATTTTTTTAGTAATAGTAAATTTATTATAATAAGTATTTAGGCTACATTCGAAAATGCTCTATCTCTAGATACATTATTAAGAAATTACCTTGTATCTTGTAAATTATTGACATTTTTAAAGATATAAGCTCATCCCGATGTTACACTCATCAAGACCTTTCATTTGAGTACCCACATCAATTTTTCATATATTTATATATATTACATATATGTATATATGAAAAATATATAAAAAATGCATGTGGGTACTCAAATGAAAGCTCTTGATGAGGGTAACATCGGAATGAGTTTATATCTTTAAAAATATCAATAATTAAGAAATGACCTTGTATCTTGTCAACTATTGACATTTTTAAAGATATAAGCTCATCCCGATGTTACACTCATGAAGACCTTTCATATGAGTACCCACATCAATTTTTCATATATTTATATATATTATATATATGTATATATGAAAAATATATCAAAATGCATGTGGGTAGTCAAATGAAAGGTATCGATGAGTGTAACATCGGGATGAGCTTATATCTTTGAAAATATCGATAATTAAGAAATGACCCCATATCTCGTGAGCTATTGACATTTTTAAAGATATAAGCTCATCTCGATGTTACACTTATGAAGACCTTTCATTTGAGTACCCACATTAATTTTTCATATATTTATATATGATATATATATATATGTATATATGAAAATTAATTTTTCATATATTTATATATGAAAAATATATAAAAAATTCATGTGGGTACTCAAATGAAAGGTCTTGATGAGGGTAACATCGAGATGAGCTTATATCTTTAAAAATGTCAATAGTTAAGAAAGTACAGTGTAATTCAATAAAAGTCATTATGTTATAAAGCAACGTTGCCAGTATTTTTTATTTTTAATATCAATAAAATTTTATTTTAAATCAAAATAATCAATTTAATATTACATCAAATTAAAGTTTGATTTTTAATAATTTTTTTATTTTTAAATAAACAAGAAACTTGTAAAAAATTGTATGTTTTATTTAAAAATAGACTTACTCTATTTCTCGTTCTAAAAAATCTACACCTATAGTTTTTTTATAATCTCTTGTATACGTTCCTTTACAAAATCTTTGGATCATCGAGGACTTGCCGACTGCACCATTTCCTACTATGACCACCTGAAATAAATAAGTTAAATTAATAAGACGACACAATTAAATTTTACTAAATAAATTTCCAACATAAATTGAAGATTGTTAAAACATAATATTATTTTTGTATTGAACTGTCCAGTTAAGTATTATTATCGAAGACAGTAACGGTGCATTGGACACGTATACAAGAAAATGATGGGTCATGTGTAAGAGGGGCTACAATTTCAGTTGATAGGTCTACTTTTAAAGACCGGTCCAGACTTGGAAATTCATTAATTTATTTTTTACAAATATTTATTTTGTATACAATATTTAAATGGATTAATTTAGTCATTAATTAATTAATTAATTTATTAATTGTTTAATTACAGCACTAGCTATTGTAAAAAATAATTAATTGAAATTTTACTGACAATTGATCTGTAAACTCATTAATACTTGATGATCTTCGAGCTCATTAAGCAATGTAACGTGTGAGAATTGGTAAACCAAGTATAACAAGAGTACCGTTAAACACATGCAAAGAACAAGAGGGAGAGCTACTCAACTCAGTGAGAATTAAGCGGCTTTATAATAAAAAATATTTTACTGAAGAAAAAATATAAATAATTAAATTAAATTTTTTAATATCAATTAGCAGTCACTTGAAAATTTTTTAATTTTTGTTAGAAAAAAATTTGTTAAAAAAATTGCATTTTTTATTTTTTAATTTCTAAATGTCAATTTTTTTTTTTTTTGCTATAATTTATTTGTTACAAAAAATTATAAGACTAAGATTAAATATCAGCTTAATTAATTTTAAATGACAATAAAGTTAGCTGAAATTAAAAAATTTTTAGAATCTTTTTTATTAAAAAAATTATTTAAAAAAAATTAATTGAAAAAATTCAGATGTAAAAAGTTTTAAAAATTATAAGTGCAATTTTGTAAAAATATTTTTTTGTTCTAATTTAATTAATGAAGAAAAATCAAAAATTATTGAACGGTTAATTTTAATATGATTAATTTTTATTAATATGAAGAAAAAAATATTTTACATAAATCAATAAATGGCTTAATAATTATTTAAAAAGACTGGAGTTTAAAATAAAATTAAAAGGGGGAATTTATTTGAATTAAAAATGAGGGAAGGTGTAGTAGACATATGTATAATATATATAATACTAGTCGGAACAATTTATGCATTTTAAGTAGCGGCATAAAAATATACCTTGAGTGATATCTCGAGTTCTTCCTCCCGCATTCTGATCTCACCTCGCTTCTCATAATAATAATATCAAACTAAAAATTTCTTTATTAACAAAAACAGATATAATAAACCGGGTTTAATTAATAATAATTAAACATATTTATTATTTTATTTTCACCGATGTCTGTAAGAAATCACGAGATTGTTCGCGTACCATTGCCGCGAAGGAAAAACCGGACGTACTTGAATGTAAGTATTCTTCTTTTTTTTTATTTGCTTTTTTTTTACTCACTAAAACTTGTTTAAAAATTTTTTTTTACAGTATTTTTGTGTCTTTTAGTAAAAAGGTAGTTTTTAAAATTTAAGACATGTGATTAGAACGCGCGAATCTCACTATATATCAAAGCCAACTGCGATAGCGTTACCGGTTGAGGGCCGAGGACAAACTAACACCTGTCTCGCCTTTTCACTTGCCTGCGAGCTACAAGGAATATCAACCACCTGGTTTTTATCAGGTCTAGGGAGTTTTAAGTAACTTACACAGTCACTAGACGATAAGTAACTAAACCTGATGTGAAGATTTAATTATCTTCTTGCTTATTGAGTTTACAAAATTATGAAACTTAATTTAGAAGATATTTAAATAATTAAAAATTAAATAATAAATTTTCTAATCTTTATATGACAATTTTTTCTCTATAAAAATAATCAAAGTTTCTTATAAATTAAAAAAAAATTTTTTCTAAGCAATTACTGTCTTTCTTTAATTTTTTTAATAAATAAATTACTGCATAAAAAAAAATGAGAAAAAAATTGACATTGAGAAAATTTAATAAATTAAAAATGCAATTTTTTAAAAATAATTTTTCCAAACGAATTTTTTTGTTAAATAAATCTAAAAAATGGTCAAATGACAGCTAACTTAAATATCATTACAAAATTATATTTGAAGAAATATTGAAAATTTTCATTTTTTTTTAATTAAAAAAAAAAATTAGAACTCATAAAAATAATTTCTGTAATCAATAAAAACATATATATAATGATACACTTAAAAATAAATATGAAGCTATAGTAATATTTTATAATACTAAAGTTAGCCGACGTTTTGAATTTTTTGATTTTTTCAATAATTAAATTAGAAAAAAATATTTTTTTAAAATTGCACTTACAGTTTTTTACAAATGAAATTTTTTTATAATAATTTTTTCAATAAAAAAATATCCTAAAATTTTTTAAAAGTCGGCTAACTTAATTTTTATTGATATATTATTTTAATTATTGACATAAAGAACTGCTATATTTTTTTCATTGATTTTATTATCTATACAATAATTAATAATAATCAATATTATTAAAATAAGGCTAATTGTAATCAAAAGTAGAAAAAAAACCAACTGAGAAAATTTCATTAAAAAAAAAAATATTTTCATACCTAAAAATTGAAAATTTTATCATAAATTATTGTAAAAATATCGATGTTCACTGGACGAACTCTTTGCGTCAATAAACTCATGGTATTTTTTTAAGTAGTCAGAACAAGCTGATATAAATAAATAGTACGCTGTATGGTATATATAATTTGACAAAAAGCTTGCTAGCATTTACATTATTTATAAACAATTGATAATGTTTATGCTTTACGATTCAATTGCCTGGCTATTTTTTTTTTTTTGTGTAGAAAGTCATTACCAAAATTAAAAAAAATTCGTAGAAGAAATGAAGCATTTGCTAATTAGTTTGGCAAATATATATACTATATATATAATACATCGAAAGATACATTTTTTTTTTCTTAGAATACGCAGAGTTTCGTGAATCATAAATTATTCTTATTAAGAGGGAATGACGCGTCAAAAACAATAACAATTACACCCATTAAATCTTTTTTTATCATCTATTTTTCATGTAATTAATTAATTTTTTTTTTTTTTTATTTTAGAAAAAACTTATTCAGTTAGTATATAACACATGAGAGAGATAAGTAGAGACCTCTCAATTGTTACTAATAAAAAATGATTGGTCTTAACTAACTTACAAGATATTTATAAATACACATTGGCGTTGTTTTTCTTTTTAATTAAATGTTATTTCCCTTATAATTTATATCAACATTATCATTGTTTTCTCTATTGATATAATTGCCCACTGGTAGATTGACTTCCGTGCACATATATGTAACAGACCAAGTTTTTCCACATATGTATATGTGTTTTAAATGATACTAATTATGGTAATAATTTTGTATCTAAAATTATTTTAACCCGTTGAAGATTTCATTGATATTCTTGATGACAATAAAGTTAGCAGACGTCTAAAAAGTTTTTTGGATTTATTTTTAATTAAATTACAACTAAAAAGATATTTATAAAAAATTGCACTTGTAGTTTTTCGAGTTTTTTACATGTGAAATTTTTTTTTTTTAATTGTTTAATTGAAATTTTTTCAATAAAAAAATTTGTAAAAATTTTTTAATGTCGGCTAACTTTATTTTCATATATTCTTGAAGATATTTTTATTTTTTTAGTGTAATAATTATAATAAAAGAGTTTTATGACAAAAAATTAAATCTTTTTATATTAATTTGCATGTTTAAATGTCTTATTCTCATTTTAAGCGACTGACCGAAATTTGTAACTCCAAACTTCAGAATAAATATATTTTTTTCAAACTTCATCAAATATTGATTTTTTTCCTTAAAATATATTGTTTTCTGAATAAAATTGTGTCAGTTTTTTTTCGATATCGTAAAAATCAAAATTTCTGCGACTTTTTTTATAAAAAAAGTTCAATTTCGTAAATTTTTTTTTCTAAATGATTTTTTAGTATTTTTTCTAAATGATTTTTTAGTATTTTTAAATTATTATAAATTAAAAATAACTATCAAGATATTTAGAGGGAATGTTACATTAAATTTTGGTGCCAATTATAAGTCAATACATTACATAGGAAACAAATTAGGACCCCGTGTGTCCTCAACGGGTTAACACACACATATATACAGTTATACATTTTTTTTACATAGATATACATATAATATATTTTTCATGATAAAAACATTTATGTTTTTGACATGAAAAAATATTGACGTCTCTCATGAGATGTTCATTTTTTTGACATGGAGCCCACTACGTCTGTTACATATGTCAGTGGCAAAATTAGTATTGTGTATGTTATATATATATATATATATTTATATTTATTATATAGAATGTTTATTTATATACATATGTGTATTTAAAATTAAGTTTCATAGTCATAATTTTTAGTTTTTATTTTTATTGATGTTTTGTCAAAAGAAATAATTTGTTCTTAGAAAAAAATTAGATAAATATATATGTATAATAAAATTGACAAGAAATCAATTAATGATTTCATAGTACGTTAATAAATCAATAATTTTTATGAAATTATCGGTATCGTAAGAAAAAATTACACTGATATAGTGACTGTTACTTATTAATAATAATAAAAATAATAAAAAACGTTTTATCACTTGATAATTAAAATAATAATGATAATAGTATGTATAAGATTATAAAACTTTTTACTTTTGTTAATTAATAATTAATCAATATAAAATATTATAATAAAAATTAAATTGCGCAATCAATTGCTTTTGTATGGATAATTTTTTTTTTTAGCTAAATCGAATTAATATTTTTAATTTGTTCAGAAATATTGCAATTAATACTTTTAAAAATACACTGACTGGTATACTGAGCAAATTTAAATAGGATTAATTAAATCAATCAATAATATTTTCTATTCGTAAGATAATCGTCGCATTTTTGCCGTATGGACGGACCAGTTTGTAAATTATTTCACATTAGACATAATAATTAGTTTTATCACTGATTAAAACGAGTACTGAGTTACATTGATCATTGGAAGAATAAACAAAAAATAAACATTTTCCATACTTTTTTTAAATTGATGAACACGATTCAATTGCAATCTACAGCTTATTATAATTTAATCATCATCCTTATATTTAAATGTTCCTTGAAATTTAGACTTTATCATTTATTGAAAAGTGTCACTAAAGAGCATTTAATACCATTAAGGGGGGAAATACGTGTAGAAGGAAGTTTTAATGCTGATTTTTTATTAATTTTTTAAGGTATGAAAATTAATGTTATTTATTGAAACTATCAGGTTATTTTATATATTTATATTCTTTCATATTTTACAACAATATAACTTAAAAAGTAGCTGATACACATCGTAGGTTGTCTTCCGACTTAGCAGTTGGTGTGTACTATGGAAGCCACAATTTTTATCTGAAATCAATGACACAGAAAAATTACTTTTCTTTATACAATTACGCTGAATATAAACCTCAATTATAAGGGATATTTTTATTTAAACTATTTTTTTTTTAATAAACAATGTATGAAAAAATGGTAAAAAATCACGACTTTTTTCACAACCCTCTAAAAAATGCAAATTTTTACTTTTTTTTTTGGAATTGAGGTTCATATAGAAGATACACATATAAAAAAAGTAATTTTTCTGTGCCAGTGATTTCAGATAAAAATTGTGGCTTCCATACTGCACACCAACTGCTAAGTCGGATGACAACCTACGATGTGTATCAGCTGATATCTCCGCTGTTTGTTAAGTTATATTGTTGTTTAATACGAAAAAATACTCATAAATATATCTATAAAATAACCTGATAGTTTCAATAAATAATATTAATTTTTTATACCTTAAAAAAATTAATGAAAATCAGCATAAAAACGGCCTTCTACACGTATTTCCCTCCTTAATATATGAAATTTTACAATTTATATTACTCACTTTAAAAATGTATTTTTATTAACATAATAATCTAAGATTATAAAGATAATTACTTATAGATTAAATATAATAATTAATCATGGAAATTATTTTGTTATTTAATCTCGCTTACTTAACAATCAATCATTCCTTCTATTTCTTTCGTTATATGGCAGCCAGAATATCATGTAAACAAATAGATGATAACCGCGACGTTATAAAAATAAACATTACTATATCGATGATCGCAGTAAGATTACCAGTCTGAATTAATTATTTATGTTTATATCTCTGTAAAACTTTTCAATTATATTAGATGTTATTTGTTCGTTAATTTTATTTAATAGAACCATTGTTTCTTCAAAACATACGAGACTCAGTAAGCAGACGCTTCTTTATATTCTGAGCCTTCCATTGTGAAGAAATCTTCGAGTTTCCATTGCAGTGTCTCGAAAGTTGGCCTCTTCATTGGATCTTTGTTCCAACATTCTAGCATAATATCATAAAGCGCCGTTGGACATCCGGGAGGACAAGGCATTCTGTAGCCGTGTTCAACTTGATGTAATACTTCAGCGTTTGTCATACCTAGAAAACATTTTTAAAATATTTAATTACAATGAAGAAAATTTTGATTTAAAAAAAAAAAAAGTGTATTAAATTTACCAGGATATGGAATTCGACCATAGGTAACAAGTTCAGTCAAAAGTATACCAAATGACCATACGTCTGATTTAATACTGAATTTACTGTAGTTGGCAGCTTCTGGAGCTGTCCATTTTATTGGGAATCTTGCACCTACACGAGCTTCATACTCGTCTTCTTTTATTAATCGAGCTAAGCCAAAATCAGCTATTTTAACGATATTTCCATCGGCAACCAGAACATTTCGTGCTGCTAAATCTCGATGAATGTAATTTTGTGACTCAAGATATGCCATACCAGCAGCTATTTGCGCAGACATATCAATTAACTGTTGAAGCTTCAATCCTCGACCTTTTCCTGAAATTTAAATAATTAATCATTCAAATAATTTTTAAACAAACGTTTTAATTGTTTTTTATATTAATCTATACTAGCAACCTTGTTGCAGTCACTATGTGACTGCCGGGACTTGTGAACTATAAATAAATAAAATTTAGCTATTAAATAATGACTTTCGTTAAATTACACTGTACTTTCTTAAATATTGACGTTTTTAAAGATATAAACTCATCCCGATGTTACACTCATCAAGAGCTTTCATTTGAATACCCACATGCATTATTGATATATTTTTATATAT